CTATACTTTGTTTTTCTAAAAGTATAAAAATATTTAAATAAAAAAATTATCAAGGCTCTCTCCTGAGATAGTTTGAAAATTGAAATAGTGGCTACAGAAATCTCAAGTTTCAAAACAAATACACGAGCTAATGCATAAGATAACACACTGAAACGTTAAAATATAAAAAATAAAATCTAAAGAATAGACATCAATACATAGAAACAACTCGTCAATGAGAAATAAAAATACGTCAAAAGATACAAAAATAATAAGATACATCAACCCCACAAATTTAATCAATTTCTAATGAAACTAATAAAAGATTAATTCACATAAAAATAAACATATAAACTAATGAAAAGGAAAAAGAAAAATTGCGGTACAGAAACCCACTTGCGGGAAACTAAAGGAAAAATTAAGAAAATAACTAAACAATCCAAACAAACATATACATATAGAAAAATTGAGAAAAATCACAAGTAAAGAAACACAGAATCATAAAGGTCACTATCAAAACTTAGATTTATGAAGTCTTAAGCAAAAGAGACGGAACTTACAGTGCCGTGCGATTTACCTTCTTTTCACGCCTCTACCTCTTTTCTATGCTTAAATTTCTTTGCACCGTGATAAAATGAGGAAATATACTTACCCTAGCATGGACAAAACGATGACCGGCAACTGAAAAATGGAGATCGCCATCGGTGAATTTGAGAGAAAATGAAGGGAGACAAGGCTTGGGTCGGCGGCGGGAAGAGTGAAGACGAAGAGTGAGAACTAAGAAGTGAGAATAGATTAGGGCTTGGCTCATGTTTCCTCCTTTTTTTATTTTTTATGTAGGTGGGTCAGGTCGGGTTATGATTTTAATATTTTTGCAACATTGATTGAACGTTGCAAAAAGTTCAAAAATTTTTACTTTTTGCAACGTTTATTAAACCTTGCGAAAAACAACCTTTTGCAACGTTCAATGGCCGTTGCAAAAAGTAACGTTTTCGTAATGTTTATTAAATGTTGCGAAAAGTTTTCATTTTTCGCAACATTCAATAAACATTGCAAAAGGTGTACTTTTTGCAACGGCCAACGAACATTGGAAAAGGTGAGTTTTAACAACATTCATTAAAATGTTGCAAAAACTCAAACGTTTCTCAACGTTTAATAAACGTTGCAAAAACTAAAACCGTTTCACAACATTTAATAAACGTTACGAAAGGCTACATTAGCAACATATATTTACAAAATGTTGCCAAAACTCAATTATGTTAATTAATGGCAACATTTGCTTACTAAAATGTTGCGGTAGACCCTTTAGCAACACTTAACTACCGATGTTGCCATTTATGTATTGCAAATGATGATTTTTGGTGTAGTGTATGTGTTGTACTCTTTTTCCCTTGATTAAAGTATTGTCTCATTATATTTTTCTAGCAAGGTTTTTAATGAGACAACTTTGTAGTGCACTTAAAATAATAATATACTCTTTTTCCTTCATTAGAATTTTTTCTATTTGGTTTTTCTAATAAGGTTTTAACAGGACGAATTTTTTGTGCAATGAATGTCCATAAAGTAAAAGACATTTATTTTAAAAATAATACTCTTAAAAGATTCCGGGATAGACTTTACAAGGCAATTTTTCGAATCATCATGTTATCACAGTTATTGAAGGTTAATAAATATCTCATATGAAAACGATATTATTTGAAGACTATACAAGATAACATGAGACATATTTCATCAAAAATTACATTATTGAAAATATCGACATACAAGACAATGATGAATTCATACAAAAATTGAAATCCGGGAGAGCAACTTTTTTCTTCAATCAAGTTTTGTCCCACTAAATTTTCTTGACGAGATTTTAACGAGACATATTTTATAATGAGTCATTAAAGGAGGAGTGTTGTAAATAATATGATTAATGCCCACCATAATTTTGTGGACTTCTCTAGTTTCTTCTCTTATCTCTTTAGTTTATATCAAATTATTACGTCAAATTTTGTTATATATTTATATGTAATTATTTTATTTATTATTAGCTATAATGACCCAAATTTTATAAATTTGAATCGCTACCAATTTAATTTTTTTTTTATTTTTAAGAAATTAAACTTGACAAATAACTAGTTATCTATTTATTTGAAGGTAGTTTACTCAAAGTAAAAATTTAATGCTCCATATTAATAAAAAGGAGAGAATAAGGATGTGTCTCCATCATATTTTATTCCTATATATTTAGAAAGATACAATAAATTTATATCTAAAATTCATGAATTAAAACATAATTAAACACGACCTAAAGTCTGTAACCAACCATTTAAAGATTCATAAATCTAATTCGAATATGTATAATAATTATTCTCTCGATTTATTATAGCAACACCAAATTTGATATGATAATGTATATGGAAACCAACTAGCACAAATTAATTACTAAAAGAAACTTTCGTCAGCTTGTCATAAAATTTCTATGAGTAACAACTTGGTAAGGCATTTCACTGTCAATTTAGACTTCCAATGACCCCATTTCCCCTGCTAACTTCCAAAAATCTCAATTCATGTTATAAGATCAAATACACTCTATTACGTTTTATTCTGAACAATTGATCGTTAATAAAGTTTTGGTTCCACCAATAAATAATGAAAATAAATCATAAAAATATAATCAAATAAACCGTGTCCCAAATCCTAAACCACAGATCCACATAATAATAAAATTATAACAAAAGCTAAAAATAAAATCTTTGGTCACGTTACACTGGATTTGACTTATTAAGTCCAAAGAATCCTAGCAACATGACTGCACCACATCGCCCGCCAACTAACAACCCACTCTCACTTGTGAGGAGTAGGGAAAATGGTGAGTATGAGAATACTAAGTAGGATATTTAAAAATTAATGGTGCAATCCCGAATAAAAATATTTTAAATAAAAAATATCATACCATCATCATATTGCTACAACTTTAAGGTTATAAACCCAAGTGCAGGTTGTCTCAAGTAGTAAACTCGGAAGTCCGAGGTCGAACCAGGGATTTGGAAGGATAATCTAAGTATTTATTGTGCCAAAATTTGTCAACAATAAATCAAAGTCTTTAACAAACCAAAACTATTTGTAGAACATATACTTCAACCAAGTAAGAAGATGAACATTGAAGAACAAAGTGAAAGATCAAAGATAATACTACGCATTCACCAAAGGACCCCTTTTATAGGCAAAGGAATACCCAAAATGCAAGTGGACAATGCAACTTGTTTCTGTCCAACTTCAAGACAGTTGGAACATGCAACTTGATGCCAATTTTCAGATATTTTGTGCAGCGAATTTGGACTTATGATCAACAGATAAATTGTTTCCACTTGAATTAGCTTTCTATGGTGCAAATATCAGGTTCATTGGATCTCTATAACTCCAGATATGACAAAAACAATGAGTACTACTTTATAGGTAGAAAAGCTGTATCCGGCAGGTAACAAGCTGGACTTTTCAGGGAAATTTTGGCTACTTTATGGTGTGAATTTGACTTCTTGGTAAACATAAAAGTTGTAGATACATATCATATATTTCCAACCCAACTTGAATCACCTTGTTTCAATAGCTACAGCTTGAGTTATGGTCATTTTACCGAGACAACTGTATCTTGCTCAAGACAGCAAATCATTTTTGACTTTTCAATATCTTTTCTCCACTTGCTCCACTTGTTCTACCTTGGAAATTCATGTGAAATACATCAAATAAATACTCTTTCAAAAATGTAATACTCATGCCGACATGTATTTAAATAAGTATTTCGATTAATTGCACTTTTAACCATGTATTTATGAAAATCGAATTTACGGCAAAAGAATTGAAATTAGAGACAAAATTAGTGAACTTAAAAAAATTGAATGTAAAATACCTTGTAAATGATATATCTTTGAAGCACTATTAGACATATCTTTGGAAACCGGTAAGAGCTCAATAAACATCATATCTTTGGTACCAAATAGCCATAACATACATATCATATCATATTTTAAAACTTTCATAAACATAATAATTCAACAATATGAAAATAAACAATTTAAACGTGATAAAATAATTGCACCTCGTTATCCTACCTTTAATGAACCGACAAAAATGTCGTAAGATCCTTTTGAAAATACGGGTCAAACCCTCTTCACTTAAAATTCTAGTGGAACTTTGAATATGAATATTTGTGGTGTATATCTTCTTTTGACTTGAAATGAGATGAAAAATAAGATCAACAAGACTGTTATAAAGGAGAATTTATGTAGATTTTAATTAAGATTGAATTAGATATATTATCTCTTTAGAGATAAGTCAATTACACATAATAAAAAATTTATACAAGGATTATTTGAAATTAAATTTAAGAGAATTTTCAGATCTCCTGTCATCCATTCATATTTACAGTTATGGTTCATTTTTATTATTTATTTATTTTTAAAAAAATAACAGACCTATCAACATGTGGCAAAAGAAATCAGATTTTTGGTTACTTTTTAAACTAACTAACAGATTTGATAGGATAAAAGATACATTGCATTACATAACAATATGTTACTTTGCAAAACTCAATACCATTCACGTGTGCACAATTGGATCTGATTAAATCTTTTTCAAGTTAGAGATAAACTTGATTATAAAATAAAATATTATATTCTTTTGTTAATTACACTTAAAGGTACGTTATTAAGTAACAAAAAAATACATATTAAATATGTTTCTTTGAAATGAAATAACTTGGGCTTAACTCACATGATTTTACATTTTCTCGAGCCTAACATACATTATTAATTACGAGCTATCCAATGAGCCTAATATTGATATGCTTATCTTCGCCCTATCAAATTTAAATATTTGTCCCAAAAAATTTGAATTTATACATATATCACTTTAGTCCCCCAAATTTTCAAATTTAAAATATAGTATATAAAATGATTAATTCTATTATGTGAAAATTTTTGGAACTTTACAATCTCCACTCCTTAAATATTTTCGTCCTCAAAAATTACTTTTGGCTAATTGAATAGTTCCGGATACTTGGTTTTAAGCTTCTCTTCCTTCTTCCATGTTGACTCGTCTCGTCCATGATTTTGCCATTGCACTTTCACCAGGAGAACTTTGTTTCTGAGTTGATGTACTTTTCTATCCAAAATCATTGTCGGGTTTTCTTCATATGACAGGTCTTTTTGTACCTCCAAAGTTTGGTAACTTATTACATGATTGTGATCATGAACATATTTTCTTAGCATCGAAACATGGAACACATTATGCACCGTTGTTAGTTTGGGTGGTAAGGTAAGTCTGTACGCCAAACTACCAATCCTTTCAAGAATTTTGAAAGATCCAATGAACAGTGATCTCAACTTTTCTTTCTTTCCAAATCTCAATACACCTTTCATTGGTGCTACTTTTAGAAAACCTTGTCACCCACTTGGAATGCTAAATCATTTTTTCTACCGTCAGCATAACTTTTTTGTCACTGTTATGCTACCTTTATTCTTGCTCTAATCTTATCAACCGCATCAACTGTTCGTTCAATGATTTCAGGACCCAAAGTTCTGTTCTCACCGACCTCATCCTAATGGATAGGAGTTCTGCACTTCCTACCATACAGAGTTTCATATGGGGGCCATGTCTACAGTGGCCCAAAATCTACTATTGTAGGCAAACTCCACTAACGATAGATGTGTCTCCCAACTACCATCAAGATCTAAAACACATGCCCTCAACATATCTTCAAGAGTTCGAATGGTTCTTTCTGATTGTCCATCTGTCTGTAGATGATAAGCAGTACTAAATATTAGTTTCNTCAACATATCTTCAAGAGTTCGAATGGTTCTTTCTGATTGTCCATCTGTCTGTAGATGATAAGCAGTACTAAATATTAGTTTCGTCTTCATGGCTACCTACAAACTATTCCAAAATTTCGATGTGAACATCGGGTCTTTATATGAACAATGGTAATAGAAACTCTATGCAATCTGACTATCTTCCTAATGTATAACTGTACGAGCTGTTCCATATTGAAATTTACTTTGATTAGCAGAAAATTGGCTAACTTCGTCAAATGATCAACCACTACCCAAATAGCATTGTGACCTCTTGCTGATCTTGGAAGACCTACCACAAAGTCCATTGCTATATGTTCCCATTTTCCATTCTGGAATATCCAATGGTTTCAGCAGTCCTGATGGCCTTTAATGTTCTGCCTTAACCTGCTGATAGACCATACATTTCTCCATGAACAGACCAATTCCTCTTTTCATGTTTCTCCATCAAAATGTGTCTCGAACATTTTTGTACCACCTGGATATGCAGCGTACGGGGTAGAGTGAACTTCTTATCCAATATCTCATTTCTTAGGTACACACAACTTTCCTTTAAAAGTCAGTGCGTTATCTTCAGATACTTCAAATTTCATACGTTTGTTTGTACCAACCTTAACCTTTATCTTTAGTAGAAATGGATCTTTATCCTATGCTTCCTTAATTCGCTCCCGAAGAGTAGGTCAAATCATAAACGTTCTTATTCTTGCTATAATTTGAGTTGGTAGCATGATGACTTTTAATCTCAGTTTCTCAAAGTCCTTTATCAAGTGTTCCTGTACCGTGGGTAAAACTGCTAACTACGATCCTGTCTTCCTGCTTAAGGCATTTGTGACTACATTAGCCCTACTACATTAGCTTTATCTGAATAGTGATGAATTGTGCAGTCATAATCTTTCACTAGCTCCAATCATCTCCTCTGTCTCATATGTAGTTCCTTCTGTGTGAAAAAGTATTTGAGACTCTTGTAGTTTGTATAATTTCACACTTCCAACCATGGAGATAATGATGCCATATCTTTAAGGTGTGAACTACCGCTGCAAACTCCAAGTCGTGCGTTGGATAGTTTTGCGCATACTGCTTCAACTATCTCAAGGCATAAGCAACTACTTTTCCATGTTACATCAGTATACATCCCAAACTCTGCTTGGAGGCATCTTACAAATCCCTCTGAACCTTCAGGTATTGTCAATACAGGAGCTGAAACTAGTTTCTGTTTGAGTTCTTGAAAACATTTTTCACATTTTTTCGTCCACTAAATCTTCACAACCTTTCTTGTCAACTGAGTCATCGGTCATGCTATTTTTGAGAAACCCTCAATAAATCGTCTATAATAGCCAGTCATCGATCCCAAGCAATTTTCGATATATCGCTTGCCCTGATTTTTAGTAGATGATATCGTGACCTCGAGTCAATCTTTGAGAACAATGTTGCTCCCCTTAACTAGTTGAATAAATCTTTGATTCTTGGCAAAGGGTATTTGTTTTAGGTGGTGAAATGGTTCAATTTCCAGTAGTCAATGCACATCCTCATCTCCCATCATTCGTCTTTACAAAAATTACAAGAATGCCCCAAGAAAATGCACTTGGTCGAATGAAACCTTTCTCTAGTAATTGCAATTTCAATTCTTGAAGTTTTTGCAATATCATTCGGTACGGGGCCTTGGATACTGATGCTACTCCAAAAACTAAATCAATTGTAAATTCCACTTGCCTATCTTGTGGAATGCCTGGAAATACATTAGCAAAGTCTCGTACGACGTTAATATCGTCAACAGCCGCTTCTGTATGTTAGGAATTTGATAATATTAACTAGAAATCCTTGACGTGACTCATTTCTCAACGTCTTTTCCGCTTGTATAGCCTATACAAGATAAGGCAAAGACTTGAACTTTGCTCCAAAGAAATGGAACACTTCTCCTCCCGGTCTGTGAAATAATATTTCTTTCAAGTGACATCGAATAGTCAAATGATTAAGTCTCAACAAATCCATGCCTAAAATAACATCGAAATCTTTCATCTCCAAAAGGTAGAAGTCCGCCTATAATATTTTTCCATCAATCTCTAACTTCATAAACATAGTTCTCTGATTTGTACAAAGAGTTCTTCCTGAAGAGATGCTAACCTCTAATTCATTATTCATTTTCACACATGCAAAGTTTGAGCTAGCGGTGAATGATATAGAGATAAAAGAATTTGTAGCCCCAAAGTTAAGAAATAAGTAAGCAGGTACATTAGATAATAACAGAATACATGTTTTCATAATTATAATGTTAGACTAGGGATCAAGGAGCAGAGATAAAACAATGTGTAGTCCTAGGTAAAAAGAATATAAGCAGATACATTAATATAATAATAATAATAATAATATTTGCCATCACTTTCGGATCCTGTTCTGCCTTGTGCTGATCAGTGCAAAAACTCAGGTCTTTCCTTTTTTGTTCTTATCTTGATCATCATCCTTCTTCTTTAGAGGCTCTGCACAGTTGAGAACAATGTGTCCCGTCTTACTACACCGAAAACATATGTTCTTTCCGAGTAAATATTTATCCCTGTGGAGTTTATTACACTTAGGACATGGTATAATACTCTCACTCATCCCACCGATACAAACTCCTGTGCGTGGCATTTTATTCTGCCAATTACATATGTTCTTACTTTGATCACTCCACTTTTTCTTTCCCAACAACTCTTTACTTTACTGGGTATACTTTTCAAATGTGGTCATCTGATATGAAATAGCGTAAGCCCTCTCCAACATTTCACGATATAAGGTGAAACTATGGGACATAATGATCAAGCCGATCTATGGGAGCTGTCCATTTTCGAACCTCTTAATCTTTTTAACTTCGGTATCCACCAAACGTGAGACATATCTTGAGAGTTGCTCAAATTGCCTCTCGTAATTAGTAAGCGATATGTTACCCTACCTGAGCTACAAAAACTTTGATTCCTTGAAATCTCTCAAAGCCTGTGGAAAATATTTTGCCATCACTTCATCCTTAAACTGCTCCCAAGTTAGGTTACGTTGCTGCTCTTCTATCCTAGTGCGTGAGACAGATTCCCACCAGTAACTGATTGCTTCCACAAACATGAATTCTGCTCATAGCACTTTTTGTGCATCCGTACAAGCAATGTGTCGAAAGATGCGCTCCAGATCTCTAATCCACTCCTCAACAGCCAGTGGATTGGAACCACCATCAAAAGTCGGAGGCTTGTACCTACGAAACTGCCCAACCACTGAGACGGCTCCGAGACAAATGGAGGTGCATTTTGTTTTGCCGGTGCATTCTGTGGCAGCAGTGCTCAATTCTGTCTGCTTAGTTCTTGTACTGCTTGCAGTAAATCGAGCATTAAGTTCATGTGAATGGGTAATGCCATTTCCTAAAATTTAATATGAAGTTATTGGTCACATTTCAATACTAAGTCTAACAAGATATATTTTTTTATCGTAATACATATCATAAATTTAGTGGAGAAACAAACGTTATGTCTTGAAAATTAAAAGATATGCAATTTAAAATATTTAAACAATGCAAAATGTCTAGGTACATTCATCTTCTTGCCCCCTTTACATACCTTAGGGTCGTCGGGGGGTGGCCGATTGGTGGTCGTTCAGTGCCAAAGATCATTCACATATTTAATAACTTTAAATTGACTTTATCTTTAAATTCATAAACCTTTAGAAAAATATTAACCTTTAACAAACATTATGCAAGGAAACGGGTAAACAAATAAACATTTTTTATTATACGGAACATTTAAACCATGTAAAGTCCAATGTTTATACATACATACATACATACATACATACATACATATATATATATATATATATATATATATATATATATAAGGAC